TCTCTCCTTCCCTCCCTCCCTCCTTCCTCCTCCTCTTCTCCTCCTCCTTCTTCCTCTTCCTCCTCCTCCTTCACTCTTTCTCCTTCCTTTGCCATCTCTCTCTCCTTCCCACCTTCCTCCTCCTCCTTCCTCTTCCTCCTCCCCCTCCCCTCTTTCTCCTTCCTTAGCCATCTCTCTCTCTCCCCGCCTCCCTCTCTCTGAATAGTCTGATTCAGCACAAGGGTAGGGCTGAACTTTTTAGCTCTCTGGGGTGGGAAAAGAAAGTAGACATAATAAATCTAGCCAAGGCTTAACAGATCTCTTTTCTGATGTTTTGGTGCCAAATATATATATATAAGAAATAACATAGAACCTCTGAGTTTCCCAAGTTTCCCACTCAACTTTGGTGTCACGATGAGTAGGATTTAGGAGATGACTTTAAACCTGGCCAATTATGGTTGATTGAAAGGAAAGCTAATTAGCACTGGACCTGACAACGAGGGAGAATTTCTCAGAAAACAGTTGTCACACATAAATCAGCTAATGCTTTTGGCTATGTCGTTTTAGGATTAGCGGTTCACCTGGAAGAGAGCCTAAATCCAATCATTAAGAAGGTAAATGGATTGATTCTGTCCTGATTAGGAATCAACTATTAACCGTCTCTAACCCAAACAATGCAGGGCCATCATAAAATCTCCGTATATTAGATAGGGTCTGTTAAGCCTGGATTCCCCAACGGGTGTTAAGGAAAACAAACTAAACAGAACGTGCAGCAAAGTCAGATAGGAAGACAGGTAAATGTGTGAGATAAGTTTTCTAGTTAACACGCAGTAAAAATACAGATACGCTTGTGCTATCAAAAATATAGTTTATTCCATTTAAGAACTATAGCATAGTCAAATAAACGGTCCATTAGTCATATATCAATTTCAGTCAAGTCTTGTCAGGGATACTCTATTTGCAAAGTCCGTGATGAATAGCCAATGTCAGTACACTTATAATAAATCAGTCCAAACTTTATCTTCTCTCCGTTGAGAAAAATCAACACTCCCTTTTCTCTCCCCGTTTCAGCAAGAACGCAGTCATCAATCCATCCAGTAATTAGGGATCTTCAAGCCAGAGAGAGAGAGCTGCATTTGCCTCGCTTCTTATTTAGTGCTTTTACAACCACACCCTTAATTACATTCTTGCTGTTAAAGTTACACACACTTTAACTAACAAACCATGATACCATATTTATTATTTTTACCCAAAACAGTTAGGGTAAACAATGTTATCCCTAACAGGGTCTTCCTATTGTTGGAAGAAATATCCATCTGGCTCAGTTCCAAGCCGGGAGGAAGACCCTGGAAACATGGAGGCTGGTTGGAAAGATGGTCTAATGATGAGGCAGAACCACCAAGCCCATGGTTCCCTGGTGCAGCTGAACACATGGAGTTGAGAGTGAGGGTCATTTATACCTTCTCTGAGCATTGCGCTTGAGCTTCCTGTTCCTGTGCAAGAATATGTATTCTATTGGCTGTTTTCAGACTCCCAAGGGGCCATGTAGGGGTTATGTAGCGGTCATAGCTGGCTCTAAAGGCAAAATACAGATCTTAGGAGTTTGTCTGAGGTAAGTTTGGTTGAAGTTTGTGAGGGTGATGCAGTGAAGGGCTGTTGGGCAATTCCTATTGTGGCTGAGAGTTAATCCTACCTTTGTTGGATCTTGGGTGAGAGTATTTGCTTATGAATAGAGCTAGCTATCTCTTTGACTCTTAGTGCTGAGCTTTGCTGTTGGCTATTAAGGAAGGGCGGGGGCTGCTTTCCAAGAGCATGTTTCTCCATTTCTCATCCAGGGAAATATAATATTTGACTTTTTAAAAAATATTTCTCAAAATATTTCATTCTTCTAGGAGAGGGGTGGGTGCTACCTTTCTACACTATCTAATTTTAAGCAAGGGTTGGGCCCCTGACCCCATAAAATGGGATTCCACCAAGAGCCCCTGGCCTGAGCCTTCCCCATCAAAAGCTATCAGGTTCCTCCCAGAAGCATGGGTAAGTCCTGTCTTAGCCACAAAAGCCAGCTGGGTGACATTGGACCAATGACCAGGAGAGGGTGAGTTCTAATCCCACCTTGGATATAAAAGCCAGCTGGGTGACTTTGCACCAGTCCTTCTTTCTCAGCCCAACCCATCTCACAGACTTATGGTTGGGTGAAAAATTAGAAAGAAGAAAGAGCATTGCATATGTTCGCCAATTTGAGTTATTTATAAAAATAAAAGCAGGAAAGAAAGAAAAAAGAGAAAGAGAAAGAAAGAGAAAGAAAGAAAAGAGAAGAAAGAGAAAGAAAGAAAAAGAGAATGAGAAAGAAGGAAAGAAAGAAAACGAATGAGAAAGAAAAAGAGAAAAAAGAAAGAAAATAGAAAGAAAGAAAAAGAGAAAGAGAAAGAAAGAAAGAAAGAAAAGAGAAGAAAGAGAGAAAGAAAGAAAGAAGGAAACAAAGAAAAAGAGAACAAGAAAGAGAAAGAAAGAAAAAGAAAAGAGAGAAGGAAAGAAGTAAAAAAGGAAAAGAGAAAGAGAAAGAAAAAGAAAAAAGAGAGAAGAAAGAAGGAAAGAAAGAAACAGAGAAAGAAAGGAGAAGAAAGAGAAAGAAAGAAAAAGAGAACAAGAAAGAAGGAAAGAAAGAAAAAGAATGAGAAAGAAAGAAAGAGAAAAAAGAAAAAAGAAAGAAAATAGAAGAAAGAAAGAAAAAGAGAGAAAGAAAGAGAAAGAAAGAAAAGAGGAGAAAGAAAGAGAAAGAAAAAAGGAAACAAAGAAAAAGAGAACAAGAAAGAGAAAGAAAGGAAAAGAAAAAAGAGAAGAAGGAAAGAAGTAAAAAAGGAAAAGAGAAAAAGAAAGAAAAAGAAAAAAGAGAGAGAAGAAAGAAGGAAAGAAAGAAAGAGAGAAAGAAAGAAAGAAGAAAAGAAAGAGAAAGGCAGGATAAAACTCTAATGAATAAATATTCAAGGAAAAAACTCCCTTTGGTTCATTTCCATTTCCTCAAGAACCCATAATGTTCTTGAGGACAACCCAACCGTTGGGCTACAAATAAATAAATAAAAATGGTATTTTTGTATAAATATTTATGACAAATAAATACAGGAATAAAATAAAATAAAAAGTCGTACTTTTTGGGGAGGGGGGATGTGGAGGTGGGAGGGGAGAGACTTCAGCCCGTCAGGGTGTCTCAACCTGCTCCCCCCCCCC